GGCAAAAATTTGTTCTACGCCGTTTCTCAGTTTTTATCAATTAAGGGGTACATAGTTCAACATCTTCAGAACATAGATAAAGCCCTTTAGAAATTCCTTACCTCAGTAAATTCCCTAATATTAGGCCTACTTTGAAAAATATAGGCTATGGCAAGATTTTTCTTTATTTCCAGCGAAATGGCCGTGTGGTTATGACCACCAAGCATGCAGTGCTCAGGAGTATGTACAAGGTAGTTTCGCTTTTCCTGGAGATTGTAGAAAATACTTCGTCTGTGCACAAAACAGAGACCGTAGAAGCTACTCCTGGAAGGCACTCAGATGTAACAGGCATTTCGCTTTTATAGTAAGCCATGGCTACTATAGAGGGAGCTGTATGCGGGGTTTTAGATGCAGCCCCGTGACTTGTGTGACGACAACATCAACATCAACAACTACTACAACAACAACAGCAGCAACAACAAAAATAACAACAAGACAACCAAGGACATCGGTTACAGTAACAGTACGTCCATCAACTACTTCAAGAGTTACAACAACTTTAGAAAGCACGGCAGCTTCAGCCGCAACCACCAGTATGTATCGGTATTCTGATATCTAGTTAGGAAACGTGTGCGCGTGTGTTACGTGAGGATTCGTGTGTTCTTAATATCAAAACACAAATGAAATCAAAATAAAATTGCATTTATGGCCCTAAGTAAAAGTTAATTGTGCCTTTATTTTACAGACAGATTCAATATCGACACTTTTTTCTACGTACGGCCTTTGTTTGCCTATAATTGGTTTACTAATTTTTTTATTTTTATTTTTTTCAGTTTCACGTCATTAATGTTATTATAACAGTTTCAGAATCCCATTCCATTACGTCACTTCTCCCAGACATGCCTACAGCAGTGCCATCTGGCAACGAAACTACACCAGTGCTTACGTCAGATGACGTAAGAACGTCCAGCGCTGCCATAGTGGCCGGAGTGCTGACGGCTTTCTTCATTGCAGTACTCACAATGTTTGCAGTGCTTTGGTGGAAAAAACGAGAGCACGTCAAGAAGTAGGTGTTCATTTTGTGATTTGGTCAGCCAAAATTGAAAAGTTGGTGGACGAGCGCGACTGATACTAGTTTTGAGGAACTCAGATTTTTTAATTTAGGCCCCTATTATTATTATTATTATTATTATTATTATTATTATTATGCACCTGTTTTTTGTATGCATTGGGTATCGGTTTGATAAGCGGGAGAAATTTACGATTGACCCCAGGAAAAACTTAAATTAATGCTGTTGTTTTTATGTTTTAAAACATGTTGTGTGTGTGTGTGTGTGTTATAGAGAGAGAGAGAGAGAGAGAGAGAGAGTCAATAAACACGATGGCATGACATTTGTATTTTATGTTAATCTGCAAAAAGGAGCTTAGTACCGCGCGGTAATGGTTTATAAAAGAAAGTTTTCCATTCTTCATTTCTGAAACAAATAAAAAAGAAAACCAAATTAATATTCTACCCATATGCTAATGCCTGACAATTGTATTTGTTCCATTGCCTTTTATGATCCCAGCCTAACCGCAGTCGTGACTGTAACTCGAGAAACATTTATATCTTCAGCAAACACATTTGTGAGGGTCACATATCTTTTTCTTTTACTTTATTAACCTGACCCACTCGATGTACATATCTATTTCAGCCAGTTTTACATAGACTGGTACCCTATAGACAAATCCTACAGTGTGTGTGGTGTGTGTGTGTGTTCGTGCGTGTGTGTGTGTGTGTGTGTGTGTGTGTGTGCACAGTGACCCATCTACTTGTATTACTCTTTTCAGGATTTTTAAATGTTCAACCAAGAGAAAGGGGATTGCAAAATCAAACCCGATGCATGTAAGTTTGCATAAAATAAACGTTTCAGTTAAAATATTATAATCCAATGAATTTTAGAAAGTTGCAGTTCACAAATCTTACTATTTTGTTAATTAAACGAAATATTATATATACTGTATGAATGAGGAATGGATATTATCAGTACAGATAAGAACTTTTATGTTTTCTGTTCTACTAGAAAATCCCAGTAACTATTTTGTACAGAGTTACATGTATATTGCCTTGTCACCTCATTATTTCTAGGATCGTAACACGTATCAAAACCCATCTGAAGTCATTTTCTCCGATCTAAAGCTGACAGAGGACCAAATCAACGAACCAAGTCCCAGAGAAACCACACAGCAAAGACACAACACATCTGCCAAGGACAAAAATATGGCAGAACTCACTTACCAAAACATCCCCCTTTACCACACCGCTCTTCCTGTGGACAAGAAAAATAATTCTGATCAGTTACATTTGAAAGACAACTCCCTTTATGGCCGCGGAGATGACCGGAGAAGTAGCACCGACAGTCGGGCAGTTCTTTTGTCGGATGACTCAGAGGGTAATATAAAGGGGACGTATGCACAAACTTATAAGGCCAGACAGGGCAATGAACCAGTAGAAATGAGAGAGAATTCCCTCTACCTAGGTGGACCGGAGAGCCCAATATACCATGTCCCAATAACTCCTCCCACCCAGGGGGAAAATGGTAACAACGTGTATTCCTATGCGTACTCGCACCAAAACTCTGCGTTGGACAGAACGCGGTTTAAAGAGTGTGGAAATGGGAGCGAATATGAGGATCTGTCACGTGAGCACGTGGACGGTGATGTTTATTACAGCAGGATTTCTGAGGGTATGAAATACGAGAAAATTGGTCTGGCAGATATCAACGAGACAGAACCTTGTTATTTAGAATTAATTAGTTACAATACACCAACTTCAAAATAATTTATTTTAATTTTCAGTTTGATATTATATGTGCATAATGACCTTGTGCTTGTGTGAGTGTATGAGAGAGAGAGAGAGAGAGAGAGAGAGAGTGTGTGTGTGTGTCAATAGACACGATGACATGACATTCGAGTTTGAATTTTATATTAATCTGCAAAAAGACTATCAGTGCTTACTACCGGTTATATGCAATGCCAAGCGAGTGAAACAACTGGTCTAACTATCACAGAACGGTGAATTCCTTTCGAATTCTTTAATTCTGAAATAAAACAAAAGAAAAACTATCTGTGATAGTTGAATCTTGTATTATACTTATATGCTTAAGCCTGACAACTGTATTTCTATTATTGTTATAATAAAATATTCACCGTTTGGGGACAATTTTTCTAGAGAACTAATTTTTAAGTTGAGTCAGCATTGATAAGAAGACTAACTGCAAATTAATCCTGAGTTCGAATTATAAGATAAGTGAATTTAAAACAGAGTAGGTCAAGATGAGTAAATACACTTGAGAAGGGTCTATCTCTAATACAGCCCTGCTTGAATAAACGTGAGTGCACTTTTATTATTATTAGCGCAGATATATTATTATTAGCACATATATTCGAAATCGCCTGTACTTAAAATAACTCGCAGGTCCTTTTCGAGTAAAACTGGCGCAATTGTGCCAACAGAAAAAATTGTATGTATTTTTGTCGATGGTCTTATAAATTGGTGCGTTTTTCTTTCCAAAACCTAGCTGTCACTTGCTAAAACATTTGCCGTAGGAAAAAATCAAGTGAAACACAATATTTTGTTTTGACCCGAGGTTCATTATGCCCAGTTCTGTTATTTAATCTTAAAAAGAAATAGAAAAATACTGCAGATTCCTTGCCGAAAGGAGACTTGTCACCTTATTTATCTTTTCGGAAAAACTTAAAAAGTAGAGGTATTTTTTGTTAACACCCTTATACGGTATAAACGGAAACATTGTCCAACTGCATGCCCTTTGCTCATAAAATGTTATAATTATACTAACATATAACTAACGTTAGAGTACTGGTATGTCATTGTAGGTTGTATTTTCTACAGGTATTTTCGTGTCAGACTTTTTCTTCTGGGGAAAAAATAAATGCGAAGTCACGGTACACTAGGACTCAGTAGGCGTACATGTACGCTTAAGCAGGGGGGCACCAATATATTTCCTGCCTTCTTCCAGTGAAGAAATCGCAAAGTATGTGACCCGTTGTATCTGTTTATGACATTATGACCCCAACCCAACAGCCTTTATACTGCGACAGCGTGTCAAAACTTCCACTTCCGCGCCCCTATTATTGTTTACCTTTGAATCAGCGTCTTTGTCTCCGATCACGTGACAATCAGTGAGTAAACACTTGGGCCTCGGTGCGCGGCCACCATTATCTTGCTTGGGCATATTTGACCACTACGATGGGCGGTTGAAGACTGACCACAAGACGTCCGTTGGTCACTACATTATTTTCTCGAAGATGGGACATGTTTTATTTAGGAACAGAACGAAAAGATCATTTTCTTAGTTATTGTTGCTGTTCACGTTGGGGGAAAGGAATAAGACTTTCCTCAGTGGCTTTCATACAAACATAATTCTTTATATAACAAGGCGCTGGATGCCTTATACCGATGATGACATTAAAACGCGGATCTCTGCACTGGTTTACCAGGCTGTGTGGAGTAATTTGTCTATTTCTGTGGAGTATATCAACCACCGTTAACGCTCAAGGTAAGTGTGTCTGACATGACACTTTCACAGTGTATGTCGGTGTATAGTAGGGTTTTCAGGTGAGTGCACAGACTAATTCTCAGATGTCTCTACAAAAGGCTTATATTTGTGGAGATAAACAGGTTTACGTTCCTATATATATATACATTTTTAGCCTCAAGGGCCTGTTTCTCTAAATGAAAATTTAAACTAAAAACGCCCAAAATCGTGTTACAGAATTTTATTCTTTTTAACAATTAACTTGATAACCGCAAAACATTTAATGTTAAAACACAGACACACACCACACACACACACACGCATATAAACGTAAATGCATGGTGCAACCGCGAACGATCACGATGCTGTTTTACTCATAGTTGTTTCTTTCTCATATCATCCATTCTCACATTCTGACAAACTTGAAAATCTGGCTGCAAACAAACCATAAAAACATTACTCCGGGTGGTCATTTGACACCAGGACTCAATTCAAGGGTCTTTTCTCTCGGTCAGCAAATCCGGTTAATCTATACTATAGTATGTATAAGCTGACCTGTATATTTATTGATCCTTTACACAAGGTGTATTATGTCACCGCCATCAACGCATATATTTAATGCTAGACTGCAGTTATCCTGACACAGCTAAGTGTGAGTTACTCTTAAATGTTACATATACATGTAGGTCCTACGTGTACAGTTAATGTGATGGCGCATAATTTATATACTGGGTCCATATTGCTATCGTTTAATTTTACAAAAAAAAACGACATCTACATATCACCAACAGCCACAAGATATCTTATACATATAATTACCAACGGCAAGTAAGTTAATGATAATAATTACTTCGGTGGACGCATGGTCGCAACTTGACAGACTTCATTTTGCAACTAAAGAAAAGATGATTCAAATGTTAAGTGTATCATGGTTTGGGCGCTTTGAAGCGTGGATAGGTTTAATTCTTATGAAATTATATGTTCTCATCTTTATGCCTTTGCTAAATTACTGTATTCAATTACTGTGTTTAACAACTGAGGTTTCTCAGATGACAATAAAGATTTTATATTAAAGTCCGATGCCATCGAAAGAGAGAGAGCATGTGTGTTTGTGTGTCAGAGAGAGAGAGAGAGAGAGTGGGGGGGCGGATCCAGAGATATTTTCTGTCAGTCTTCCAAATTATCGTTGTTGATCCATCCTCCATTTTGACCGGCTTCCGAAAAAAAAAATTAGATACCCGTCAATGCAAAATTGAAAATCTGACCGTCTTCTGGAAGACCCAGAAGACGGCCTAAATCCGCCCCTGATCTGACTGAGAGGAGTGAAGCTTCTTGTCAGATTGCAGCAATATTCTACTGCCGGCTTATTAAAATTAGTCCACCAAAATGCCCTACCTAACAATTTTGTATGGACGAACCACAGAGCAGAATATTTATAAACGCGATAGACTTACCGAGAAGTGCAGAAGTATCATGTGGTTGGATTTCCCATCTCTTTAAAGTATTCACATGTAAAGGGTGGCTTCCACAACCAAGAGAACTTATCCCATGCAAATATAGACATTTGCCTTTTAGAGGAAGCAATCGGTTTTTTAAAAAGCTTCCATCCAACCGCTACATCTCTTTTTAAGAGTAAAACATAATAATTTTACCAATTACTCCTAACTTTTCCTTTAATTTTTGTCGGTATCATTTTATTTATTTGACCTTTCTAAAACCAGAGATGGTAAAGTAATTTCCGTTTCATGCGTATTTTATCAGATTAATATACACAATGGTTGAATAATTTCATTATTACATGCAATGAAACAAAAAGAACTAGAATGATTTAATACGCCTCGTGTTTCGTGTCTTGGTTCGATATATGTGCTTACAAAATCAAAGATGGCTAACTAAACCCGTGGAGGTTTATTGCCATACTTGTAGTTGTTTATAACTATTCTCCTTTAAATATATGCTATAACACAAGTACATATTATTTTGTTTGAGACTTGACCGAGTCTCATGCCGAAAAAGCATCTAGTGCAAATATATCCAGTTCACAGGGGAGCCTACACCGTTTGTCCAATACTAGTTCGATGACAGGCACTTGTGTGACGTCATAACAGACACCTTATAATATTGTATGTCAACATTTCATGTGTACACACCGTACCCTGTTTAAACAGGGACTGAAATACTATCTCATACAGAAAAAATCGTGTTATGCGATTTGACGTTTATTCATTTATTTGCGATTTATATCAAGTTGCTCAGCAAGAGATTTAATTTCGAAAGGGAATGGTGTTTCCGTGTGTGATCAATTGTGATCCCAATGCCAGAAAGTAAACGGAAGATGAGAATGAAAACGTACTGTGATAGACGAATGAACAATTTAAAAGTCAAGAGGCATTTATGATGTAGCGATCTTTAGTTAATTTCATGCAAGGAGAAGAATAATATAAGATAAATGAAATATGTTTAACAAAATAAATCAGGACCATTTTACTATAAAAAATATGAAAGTATTTTGATACCTTAATAAAAGAAAATGAGAGATAACGTTTGATTGCAAGTATTATACTTTTAAAACCAACAATTGTTGAAATTTTCAGACTGGCCTTGTGGATACAACAGTAGAGCGTGCACTGCCATAGATTATACGCTAGGACGATTCGCAGTTCCAGGCGATTGCCAGAAATATTTCAGGTACTTTGTAAACGACAATTTTTCAAGAACTATTAAAATGGCAAAATCTTGTAATACATTAAATTTTTTGTTCTTTGCTACCTTCCATCCAAATATCATTTCCTTAATTGTTATTAAACCTTTTTCACTCTATTTGAAAAGTCTGACAACTTGGTTCCAGCTTAGCCGGGGTGCCTTGCTTATACACAGGTCCTGAATAAATCTTCATTATTGGTGATATTTCAGGTGCGCCTTCACTGCAGATGGGACATTTATATGGGAGAAAAAGAACTGTGGCAGAAATAAAGCTTTCGTCCCGCTTGATGATCTTACAGGATATTGTCAGAGGAACGCAGATTGTTCTCCGGTAACTTGCGCCACGCCAACTACGACGCCAACTACGACGCCACCGCCAACAACCAGCATTCCGACCACAACAACTCCAAGAACAACGTCAACACCTAGATCAACATCTACAGTATCATCAACGCCTGTTCCGACACCGCCTTCAGACCCTCCTTCAAGCAGTCCAAGTTTATCTCCGTTACCAGGTAACAATTCAGGAAACTTTCCCGAAAGTACAGAGAAGCAAACCAGCGGTGTAGATGGCGGTGCTGTCGCTGGCGGAGTAATCGGCACCTTGCTCGTGCTGGGTTTGATCTTGGTGGGATTTCTTTGGTGGCGGAGGAAGGAATGGGTGTTAAGGTAATTTTTTTCCTTTTTTTTTTTTTTTTTTTTTTTTTTGCCTGATATGTTCCAAGGTATTTGTTTTGTTTTTCTGTTATGTTGTATAAAGGCCTACAGTTAATTGTATTGTTTCTTTTCAGATACGATATTGGAGTTATATAAAGTATAATAAAGATGACTATTTACTTCATGTAGTTAATCCATGATGTCACATTCAAAGCAATCTATGGCTATTTGCATCAGTTAGACAGAGATTGAAGCTATTTCTTCAGCTATTTCGTATTTTACATCTTATCACATTCCATTAAAAAGTGAAACGAGCAAAGCATGAAATTGATCTTTCAATTGTTTTTTAGTATCTTCGAGAGATTTAAACTGAAGGAAAAGGGCGGCGCTGCAGATATGGTAAGTTTTATTTTCTGTTTTATGTATGGTTACTATAATAGTGCATACATTTATCCACACCTATATACGTGTAATAATTCACGTAACCATGTTCATTGAAAACATTAACTTGTGATATTTATTACACATGTGTTGTACTTTCCCTATTTTGTCAACAACATGTACTGTAGATGAAATCTAGGATGATTAAATCAAAGATAATAATAGTATTGAATAAATAACACGTTCAATACATCCTTTGGAAATCTTTTTAACTTGAATATAAAGCAAAGTGATGTTTTTACAATTGATATTAAGACTTTTATTCTCGACATTTTTTTTTCTTTTACTCCGTAGCACGATCCAATGTACCGGGACTCCGAGAAAAGAGTAATAGAATCACCCACGTATATCGTTGATTCTGAGGATATTTACACAGAACTACCTGACCAAACGTATGCTAACGATTCGCAACCAGAACCTCTCAGAACCAAAGCCACGATCTTGGCAGCAGCTCACAATAACAATGAAGTCCAGAAAAGTCCCGCGTTCGTACACCGAACCAATTCGCTATATTCCGTCAACGACAATGGCAAAGAAGAACCTGTATATCACTTTGCCGATGACCCCCAAGTAGAACCAACATACTCTTTGGCGTCAAACGATAATCCTGCTTTTTCAGCAGACGACAACACGGCCGCGCAAGCGCACTACGACCTGGCAGGTCACGTGGGATCAGATGACGTGTATTATGATACGGTAGCTGAAACTTTGGCTGGAGATTCAATCAAAAGACGCGACACGGGCACTAAATCTATGACACCTGAGCTGAAAACGAAACCGAAACATCCTCCATATGCTAAGGTTCTGCGTAAACAAAGCAGTACGGATGAATCTGGATATAGCCATCTTGTAGTGGCTGCATCTGAACCTCACACATACAGTGAACTAGAACGCTCAACTGAGGTTTATGAAAATACTGCCCAGTTAAAAGAAAGCAGCGTCGCTTAGCTTTCACCGGTTGGTGAACTATTCCTTTTTTTTCATTCATACATTCCAATATTATTAGATTTTAACGCCAAATAATTTTTATACCATGTGCTGGTCACATTGGGATTTTATACCTTATAAAAACAGAGTATATTGATATGAAATATTGTTTTTCTCGGAGAGCTGTTTATAAAGGTGTATCCAGTTGCTTTTCATAACTTACAATACTCTTCCATAATAATTAATTAGTGGTAGTAATTTTACTAGCCATTTGCTATTTGTTAAATCATCAATATATTTCAAGGAATATAAACTGATCTTCCTTTTTAGTCCCTGCCTATAGACCTTTTGCTAATGACTTCACATGCCTTTTCTCCATGACGGACTGATTTTTGTGGCCAAAAATAACCTACATGTAGTATATGGTAGATAGCACATTGGACTTCCTTCTTTTCTGTCGAGACATTGACTTAATACTCTTCACAAACTGACAAAAGGATCAATAGTTTATGAACTCTATGGACTGTAAGTCACACTGCCATGCTGTGTAGATATACATGTACATGCAGTAGATTATATACATATACGTGTGCCTTAAAATGCAGTTACCAATATTTGGAAGTATACTCATATTTTTTCGTCATGATTCTTCAATAAAAAATAATCAAATAAGAGCTGTTAGAAATCTATTCATTTAAAGACGAACGAGTATGGATAGAAAGCACCCACAGGGTGTTCCAATTTGAACACGGGATATGATTCAAAATTTGTTGAAGATCACCGCTAACCTTTATTTGTCTGCCTGTTGTATCAACAGTGTAGACATAAAAGCGATCAGCTTGTTTGTTTTGTTCTCCTTTGTCACATCAAGCACAAAGAATCATTCCACACGAAACCCGTTGCCTCGATCACCCTGTTTCCACTGTTAAGCGCTACGCACGTTTTAACTCTGTTAAGACGCCATACAGGTAAGCGTAGTCTACGCGTGAGTAATCCTGTTGACTAACGTTTTAAGCTACTACAATATGAATTGGGTCAGTGCCTGCTGGTAAGTATGACAAAAATGGCGATCTAGGTTGTAAGAATTACGCTACCGGGCAAGAGAACACGTGGAATGGTATGATTTCAACGGCGTTACACACAAACCGACGACAGCCGCTCGCGGGCCATCAAATACGAGAAGACTGAGAGAAAAATGGTGGTGTAAAAGCTCTCTCTGCGTCCACATCTCCATCTTTAACAAGCCGGTGTTGGTCGACGTCGTGAAAATGGCAAGAATAGCGTTGGGTTTCCACAAACACGTTGGCCCTTTCTTATATTATTTGGTCCTCGTACGTTTTATGGCTAGTGGACAGCAGAATGCAACCACTCTGACGACCACAGGTACACGTACAGTTGGTTATTAGTGTTCATCATCAGAGATGACTCAACACGATAATGATAAAAGTTTTCAATTTTTTATCTATATTTGTGTGTGTTATGTCGGTAAACGCAGCGTGGTTTTATAGATATCTCTAGCAAAATTAGATATTCCTTCCACAGCCACGTTGAATTGATGTAAACTAAAAATGCTGTGCTCGTTACGAACTTCGTTATTGATTCTGACGTGTGAGGTAGTATCACGTAACTTATTAATGGAGCCATGCGGGTATGAAACGGCTGTAATGGTACAAAAGGATATATGTGAAAAACACGTACAGTTGAAAAAGAGAGGAGAGAAGGGGGATATTATGCACTCTGTGTGTTTGTAAGTGTGAGAAAAAGAGAAAGAGAGAGAGAAAGAGAGGGTGATTGGGGGTCATTGATGGTGATGTCTAACTGGTTGTTTGTAGTGGCAGATTATGTTTTCGGATGTGAGTAACATTTTTTGTGACACTTCAAGTCTTTTTTTCAAAATTGTGGACGTACATTATGTATTCTATCTACATTTTATACTACTATTATTGTAATAAATTCATCATTTTTTTTTCTATCAGAGGAAGGAGTAAGACGTTCCACAATCCTAGCACAGAATGGCCCTGCCAGCCCCTCTACCGTTCACTCCACGAGCCCTGCATCTGGCGTTTCCGAACCGTCATCACCGGTAAATGCACATGGTAAATATACATTACAAACTCACATATTCACAATACAAACCGTCGTGTTTGTAAATATCATCCCCTTTATACCTTTCCCATATAAGATTAATGGAAGTGCGTTGATAATTCGGCAGATAGGCCTATATTATAAAATCCATGGCGTGACAATTATAAACGCCACTGCCGATATACAGTAGTGTTTTAAAAAGTATGTAAATAGTATGTAATACGTGTGACATATATCCCATGGTTTCTGATAAAAAAAATCTGCATTACTTCACCTTTTAGATCACAGACGGCCATGTGGCTCTCCTGACTTAAACTGTGATAAAGATCTCAATGGCAAACGCGTGGCCTTCCCCGGAGACTGTCGGCGGTTCTTCATATGTGCCTTCAGGTTTACCGAAGACACAGGTACGGCGGGGAAATGGCGCTGGACGGAGAAATGGTGCCCTGAGCAATTATCGGACACTCCGTACTTGTTTGAGATCAATAATCCATTGGCTTTGGACGGGGACTGCGTACAGAGGCGTACGCGTACATGTCGACAGGTGACGGGGGGTTGTGTGCTCGTACCCTACCGGGGGTATGAGACGAAGGTTGTGAAGCTGCCTGAGCCGTCGACGACGACGTCGATGAGTGACATTACGACACCCAATCTAGGTTTGTTCTCTCTCTTTCCCCCTCTCTCTC